AAAATTAAAATAACGGTTTTCCAAATTAAGTCACGATTTTAAGGTAGCACCCCGAATCAGTTTTCGCAAAGTAAAAGGTTTTATTTTTAAATAACTTTGTGAAATTTTCGCACTCTAATTTTAACGATAAGGAGGGGTGTTACAATTGGTATCAGAGCACGTTTCTGCGTCTCTGAAAAGTTTTCAGTCAGTAAATTTTTTTGAAAAACCTGAACCGTCATGCTCACGCCCCGCCGACGACAGGTAAGTGCTGATTTATGTTTTCAGTTATAAACATATTACTTTGTCTATGCTCAGAATTAAGGATCAGGACTTTAGTTAAGATGCTCGAATCAGGTTCAGACTTTAGAGTTCGGACATCACTCTAGAATTCAGGGCATTCAGATATGACTCTAGACTTTATTATCTTTCGATATGACTCTAGAGTTCTTCAGGATTCACGTCAGTAATTATCGGCCATTTTTGGCAACTCGTCAAGAGATTTGTGTGCCTCAGTAATCAGTCAGAATGTTATCACGTATTCAGTAATGTTAAATTTTCTCAATGTTCAGATGCCGCCACGTAGGGAACCCGATCATCCGGCTCCTACTCAGGCTACCATAGTCGCTCAGTTCCGCGGCTATCACGCTGAAAAGTTCTCAGGGCAGGGAGATCCCCGCATCGTTGATGAATGGATTCAGGGCTTAGAGTTTATCTTTGAGGTTATGGACTGCCCCGATAGATATCGCGTAGTTTGCGCTCAGCTTCAGCTCACTGGTGATGCTAGGCTCTGGTGGAATGCCTACTGGAGCATGCGTCCCGGTGAAAAAGCGGGTTGTACATGGGACATGCTCAAGGAGCTAGTCCGCGAAAAGTATTACCCCTCCTACTATCGGGCAGAGATGGAGCGTCAGTTCTTAGCGCTCCAGCAGGGCACTCGTATGGTTGATGAGTACGAGCGAGAGTTTACTAGACTTGCAGCTTTCGTACCGGACCTGGTTCGCACGGAGGCTCAGAGAGCGCAGCGGTTCATCGACGGGCTTTACCCAGCAGTCTGTCACAACATCGTGGGACACGGGACTCAGACCTACGCTCGTGCAGTTTCTATCGCTCAGGAGGTGGATGCTAGCATCAGGAGAGAGGCTGTCCGTGATCGTGCCCAGCCATCCGCCCCAGTTCAGCCATTCGCAGCTCCACCAGCTCTACCAGCTCCTCAGCCGGTGAAGGAGAAGAAGAGGAAGGGGAATGGTGCGCAGACTGATAGGAGGACTCGACAGAGACAGCAGCCGATTCCACCGTGCCCGACTTGCGGACGACTTCATCGGAGAGAGTGCCATATAGGACAGGATATCTGCTACTACTGCCACGAGCCTGGACACTTTGCGAGTCGTTGTCCAAAGAGACTTCAGCAGCAGCCCCAGCAGCCTCAGCAGCCACCACAACAGCAGCAGCCACGTCAGCAGGCACAGAGGCCGCCTCAGCAGCAGCAGCAGCAGAGGGGCAGACAGCAGGCCCGAGTTTATGCGGTCGATCAGGCAGAGGCAGCACAGCAGCCAGGTACTATGTCAGGGATGGTTGTGCTTAATGATATTCCTGTTTTCGCTTTGTTCGATACTAGAGCAACGCATTCATTCATATCACGACGATGTCATGACGCCATCGGAGTTCACGCCGTTACCGCTGTCGATCCTCTCGAGGTGAGTTTAGCCTCGGGACGAAAGATAGTGACCTCAGCTAAAGCCTCAGATCTTAGCCTTTCCATCGGTGGTCGTTTATTGACTGCCGACGCGTTTGTTCTCGAGATGAGAGATTTTGATCTTATTCTCGGAATGGATTGGCTATCCTTCTATCATGCAGACATCGGGTGTCATGACCGGGAGATCACTTTTTATCTTCCGGGAGACGAGTCGATCACTTTCTTTGGCTCCAGGAATCGCTGCCTCATGTTGTTTCGATGGCGAAAGCCACTAAGTTATTGCGACGAGGCAACTGCAAGGGTTATCTGGTGAGCCTTGTCGACGATTCTCAGAAAGCTCGTTCACCTCATGATGTTCCAATCGTTCGCGAGTTTGTGGACGTGTTCCCAGACGAGCTTCCAGGAGGACCGCCTAACCGACAGGTGGAGTTCTCTATCGATCTCATTCCAGGGGCCGGTCCAGTGTCCAAAGCCCCGTACCACATGGCGCTTAAGGAGTTGCAGGAGCTTAAGACTCAGATTCAGGAGCTGTTACGACTCAGTTTCATCCGACCGAGCATGTCACCTTGGGGAGCACCCGTTCTTTTTGTGAAGAAGAAGGACGGATCCATGCGCATGTGTATCGACTACCGGGATATTAACCGGTTGACGATCAAGAACAAGTATCCGCTTCCCAGGATCGACGACTTATTTGATCAGTTGAGGGGAGCCTGTGTGTTCTCAAAGATTGATTTACGATCAGGCTACCACCAGCTGAAGATTAAGGAGTCAGATATCGCTAAGACCGCTTTCAGGACTCGTTACGGCCATTACGAGTTCGTCGTCATGCCCTTCGGTCTCAGCAATGCTCCAGCTGTTTTCATGGACTTCATGAACCGTATTTTCCATCCCTACCTCGATCAGTTCGTTATTGTCTTTATTGACGATATTCTTATTTACTCGAAGAGCCAGAAGGAGCACGAGGAGCATCTGAGGGTGGTTCTTGAAACCCTCAGACGAGAAAAGTTGTTTGCAAAATTCTCCAAATGCGAGTTCTGGCTCCAGCGAGTATCCTTTCTGGGTCATGTGATTACTCAGACAGGTATCGAGGTGGATCCTTCCAAGGTCTCAGCCGTTCAGAACTGGTCGACACCGAGGAGTTCGTCCGAGGTTCGCAGTTTTCTCGGTCTAGCTGGTTACTATCGCAGATTCATCGAGGGCTTTTCTAAGATCGCCCTCCCTTTATCCCAGCTGACGAGGAAGTCTGTGAAGTTCGAATGGACTGATCGTTGTGAGGCGAGCTTTCAGGAGCTCAAAAGGAGGTTAACTTCAGCACCGGTGTTGACTATTCCCGATCCTTCTTGGAGTTTCACTATCTTCAGCGATGCTTCGAGATAGGGCTTGGGATGTGTCCTTATGCAGGACGGTCAGGTCTTCGCGTATGCTTCACGTCATCTTAAGCCTCATGAGCAGAACTATCCGACGCACGACTTGGAATTAGCAGCAGTCGTTCATGCTCTCAAGATTTGGCGACATTATCTTTATGGTGGACGTTGCGAGATTTTCACAGATCATAAGAGCCTGCAGTACATCTTCACGCAGAAGGAGCTCAACATGAGACAGCGCCGTTGGCTCGAACTTGTCAAGGATTACGACTGCTCTATTCAGTATCATCTGGGAAAGGCGAACGTCGTCGCGGATGCCCTAAGCCGAAAGGTGAGGGGTGACTTAACGTACGTCATTACGCAGCAGAGTCCGTTGATTCAGGAGTTTGCCCGAATGCAGCTTCAGGCGATCGATGCACTTCCCATAACCGTTTCGGGGAGTACTAGTGCCAGTGTCAGTGCTATGCAGCTTCAGCCGACGCTGAGAGAGAGAATCCGGCGAGAGCAGGCTTCTGACGAGTTTGTTCGTGTCATGGAAGCCAAGGTTCGCGCTGGAGGCGTCGAGGGTTTTCAGCTAGGTGCCGATGGTGCCTTAGAGTTCAGAGGCAGGATCGTGGTGCCGAAGGTCGAGGCGTTGCGGAAGGAGATTTTATCAGAGGCTCATACTGCACCCTATCTGGCCCATCCCGGGAGCACGAAGATGTATCACGACCTGAAAGGGTCGTTCTGGTGGCGAGGCATGAAGAAGGGCGTCGCCGAGTTCGTCAGGAGATGTCTTACCTGTCAGCAAGTCAAAGCCGAACATCAGAGTCCGATCGGCCTCTTGCAGCCACTGCCGATTCCGAGGTGGAAGTGGGAGGAAGTCATGATGGATTTCGTTACGGGATTGCCGAGGTCGTCTGAACATCACGACGCTATCTGGGTCGTGGTCGACAGATTGACTAAGGTTGCGCATTTCTTACCCGTTTCGATGAAGATGTCTCTGGATAAGTTGGCTGAGATATATACCCGTGGGATCATTCGACTCCACGGAGTGCCCGTTACGATCGTATCTCACAGAGATCCCAGATTCATCAGTCAATTCTGGCACAGTTTACATGAGGCGATGGGCACGAAGCTAGAGTTCAGTTCAGCCTACCATCCGGAGACGGACGGTCAGTCAGAGCGGACTATTCAGACGCTTGAGGATATGCTTCGCGCTTTGGTTGTTGACAGGGGTGCTAAGTGGGAGTCACTGTTGCCGTACGCCGAGTTCGCGTATAACAACAGCTATCATTCTTCCATTCAGATGGCTCCTTACGAGGCACTTTACGGTCGCAAGTGTCGTTCCCCTCTATATTGGGACGATGTCGGAGAGCGACGGGTACTCAGTTCGAAAATGATCGAGGAGACGGCAGAGCAGGTCAAGTTGATCCGGCAGAGACTCAGGACAGCTCAGAGTCGACAGAAATCTTCCGTCGATCATCATCGACGAGACATTCAGTTCGAGGTTGGCGAGCCAGCCTTTCTCAAAGTTCGTCCGATTCGCGGAGTTGTTCGATTCGGAAAGAGAGGGAAGCTACACCCTCGATTCATCGGTCCGTTCGAGGTTCTCGAGCGAGTAGGCGAGGTCGCGTATCGTTTAGCCCTACCTCCCGAGTTATCAGGCATTCATAATGTTTTCCACGCATCTATGTTGCATAAATACGTGTGCGACCCCGATCATGTCATTCCTCGTACCGATATTCAGGTTCAGCCAGATCTATCGTACGAGGAGCGACCGGTAGCTGTACTAGACCGTCAGGTTCGTCGGCTCTGAAAGCGAGATATTCCCCTCGTGCGAATTCAGTGGGATCGCCACGGAGCTACTTGGGAGGAGGAGTCCGATATTCGTGCTCGGTTACCAGATTTTTAGTTTTGATGTACATATTTCTTTATCCTATGTACATAGTTCATGTATATCAGCTATGGTTTGAATTTCTGAGGACGGAAATTTTGTAAGGAGGGAGGATTGTAATATCCCGATATTTTATCGGTAGAATTTATGTTTTAATTCCGATGTAATAATGTTAACGTTTATTATTTTCGGAATTAATTATTTTTAGTCGAGACTACCGAAAATTATTTTCGACGTACCGTTTACGTTCGGAATAATTTTGGTAATTAAGTATTATGTTTAAAAGTTAATTAGCCTAATTAAGTGATTAATTAAGAAATTAATCACACAATTAGGGCACAAAGCCGTGGACATATATTAGGTTCCTAATTTCACCAAATTTCCTAAGTTTTAAGGAAATAATTCCCAAAGCCGTAGCTAAGTCTTCAAAAGTGGGAAACTAATTTTTTCTTCTATAAGTGTACGTGGCATTATGAGATTTAATTAAGGAGTATTAGTTATCAACAATTACTCCATTAGCTAGCAATTGTCCAAAGCCAAGATAAGCCACGTCTAGGTGGTGTCACCCCATCTCACGGCCTTCTCTATATAATGGATGTAAAGTTGAGAAAATTTCCATTTTTCCATAAGTAATGTCCAAGCTTTAGAGTTCAGAACATAAAATCAGCAAATTTCCTTAAAGTTTCTTACCACCACGCACGGTTAGTAGAGGCACGTCAAGTAAGAGCATCGCACGGCAATAAGCTATCGCACCCGGCACGCACACGCAAGGTCTCGAGCGATTTCGATATTCCGTCGAACACTCAAGGAGGTATAGCTATTCTCAGCCTATTTTTATGTTAATGAGTTCATTTTAAGCTGAAGTGTTCGACTCATGTTCAAGAGGTTATAGTATTGCCGTGTTAAAGTTCGAATATGCCTAAGTTGAATCGTGATCGAGTAATTTCTTTTTCTACCCGGCAACTCTCGTACAACTCATGTTTATTTGTTCAGTTTAGATCATTTCATGCCCAGTTAGTCCATGTTGGTCGAGGCAAAATGCTGTTTTATGTGTTAAATAGCCGAAGTCGTCGCCAGCGCTCATCGCGCGTGGCCACGGGCAGTACCAATTCATGTTCTGTTACCTTCAGTTATGGTCATCTTCTTCCGTGCATTTATGTCTTAATTGCCTCAAAATAATATTTCATGTTAATTTGGTCTGGAGTTGCCGAGGAAAAAAGTGTTTTGGTCGGGAAACGGCTTATTGCCGTCGGCGGCGCACGGCGCGCTCGCCACGGCCCATTCAGTCGATCGTGCGAAAAGTTATGTTTTTAAGTCATTTCGATGATCATGTTCATGTTGAGTCAGGTTATGTTAATTGACGTCA